CAAGAACAAGAGCCTGACATTCAACTAAACTGTAATCAAGTTGCTGGAGAACTCCAGAGCAGAAAGTTGCTGTCTTTCCAGTTCCAGATTGTGCCTGCTGGATAACATCAAGGCCCTTGCAAAAGGGAACGATGCCCCTTTGCTGAATAGCTGATGGCTTCTCAAAACCTTCAAGAAATTCAAAACACTGTTCAGTGCCTGTAAAATCTGAGAACGGAGGAAAGGAAACCAGAATTATAAGGAGATGTCAATTTACCATAGGCATAGATGCCTCTCAGAAGGTTTTCTTGCAAACCCATGGCATCAAAACTGTCATAAACCTCATCATATGATGTGAAAAATTCTTGTTGTTCAGTACCAAGTCTGTTTTTGGCATATCAAACAACCACAAAAGTCAATCAAATCAATGGCAAAGGCTAGAGGCAAAATATCAGCAGAAAGTGATGATCAATAACCTCAGTACAGGAGGGAGAAGAGATAACTTACAGCTCCGTCATTTTCGCATCGAATTGACGAGCATCAAACTGAGAACCTTCTGGTGCAGAGCCTGCCATACTGCAGGAATTTAACAAAAAAACAGATAAATCAATTAATTATGCCTCAATCTCAAACTAGTTCTGGTATACTGGTGTAAGCAAATTTTAGTTTTCTTTTAAGATTACTTTTTTCAATTAGTGAATAACAGATCTTATCAGAAGATTTTGTAGATGATAAAAAGTGAAGGTTGAAGCTTAACTCCGTGACATATAAAAAAGTTTATTCACCAAGTACCAATAACTACTTATCAAAACTAGAATTCTCAAATAAAAAATAACAAATCTTATCACAACAAGGGAAGGTCAAAACATAACTCCATGGCATATAAGATATAACAAAAGGTAGTTTAAGGCCCAAAACACTTCACAAATAAAATTTATTCACCACATATCAATAACATTATCTGTTCTTCCTTTATTCATGAGGGCATGCACAAGAGACAATATACATCATTTCTCCTTTTTCTTTTTCTTTCCTGAAGAAGTAAAAGGAGCAGAAAGCAGATAGAAATAACTGTTTGACTACTTGCCATACAGCTCAACCCTATTTCTATAGCTACTTGACACAGGGTCAAGGTGACAACGGACGAGAATGAGTAAGTGTTGGAGGAGATGCTAAAACAGACATACAAATCAAAACCAACTGAAAATAGTGAAGAGCAAGCACGTGAACCCCACAAAACCCAACTGTCTGAAAAAATCACTACTTGCCGCAGATGAATCATCAAAAACTCAAACACCATCTAAACTAAAACAAACATATACAGATCAGATACAATCCAAACTATAGAAGAGCAAAAAAAGGTCGAACTCCACAATACCAAATTGTCTGAAAATCACTACTTTATGCCGATGAAACATCAAAAACTCAAAACACCATATTTCTGATGGTGAAGGAAGAAATTATGAAAACACATAAAAATCAAAACCAACCCAAATTAATCAAGACCAAGAACGTTGAACTACACAAAACCCAACTGCAGAAAATCACTACTTTAAACTCAAAGACCATTATTTAAACAACATATACAAATCAAAACCAACCCAAATTAGTGAAGAGCAAGAACGTTGAACCTCACAAAACCAAACTGTTTGAAAAAAAAAATTACTTTACACCAATAAAACATCCAAAACTCAAACACCATCTAAACTAAACAAACATATAGAAATCAAAACCAACCCAAATTAGTGAAGAGCCACAAAACCCAACTGTAGAAAAATCAGTACTTTACGGCAATGAAACATCAAAAACTCAAACACCATCTAATCTAAAACAAACATATAAATCAAAACCACCCCAAATTAGCGAAGAGCAAGACCATCGAACCCCACAAACTATCTTTAAAAAAAAAACTACTTTATACCAATGAATCATCAAAACCTCAAACACCAAACTAAAACAAACACAAACAGATACAAATCAAAACCAACCCAAATTAGTTAAAGAGCAAGAATATCAAACCGCACAATACCAAACTGTCTGAAAAAATTCCCAACTTCACATCAATGAATCATCAAAACCTCAAACACCATCTAAACTAAAACAAACACAAACAGATACAAATAAAAACCAACCCAAATTAGTTAAGAGCAAGAACATCAAACCCACAATACCCAACTGTCTGAAAAATCATTACTTTATGAATCATCAAAAACTCAAACACCATCTTAACTAAAACAAACATACACAAATCAAACCCAACCCAAATTAGTAAAAACCAACAACATCCAACCCCCTAAAACTCAACTGTAAAAAAATCACAACTTTACACCAATGAATCATCAAAAACTCAAACACCATCTAAACTAAAACAAACATATACATATCAAAACCAACCCAAATTAGTGAAGACCAAGAACATCAAACCCCACAATACCAAACTGTCTGAAGAAATCACTGTTTTACGCCAATCAAAACATCAAAACTCAAGCACCGTACAAATCAAAACCAACCCAAATAAGTAAAAACCACAAAACCCAACAGCATAAAAATCACACTTTACTTTATGAATCATCAAGAACTCAAATACCATCTAAACTAAAACAAACATACACAAATCAAAACCAAACCAAATAAGTAAAAACTAAGAACATCCAACCCCACAAAACCCAACAGCATAAAAATCACAACTTTACTTTATAAATCATCAAAAACTCAAACACCATCTAAACTAAAACAAAAACACACAAATCAAAACCAACCCAAATTAGTAAAAAACCAAGAACATCCAACCCCACAAACCCCAACTGCAAAAAGATCACAACTTTACCTATGAATCTTCAAAAACTCAAACACCCATTTAAACTAAACCAAACAGATACAAGAATCCAGCAAAATACACAAAAAATAACCACACACAAAACAAAAAACCAAAAAAAGTTCAGCAAAAAGAAGAGAGTTACCTTATAGCTAATAAGAAGATTGTTAAAGAGAGATCTGAAGATTTGAGAAAAAGGGGATTTTTGAGAATTAGGGTTTGTAAAGACTGCAGCTTTTTTCCAAAAACTCCTCGGATCTACGCCGCGGAGTTCAGGAAGACAATATGTGTGAGAGAGTTTTTATGATTGTGTTATGTTTTGTCTTTTTATGTTTCCAAATCCTTATGTAAATTGAGTTGGGAAAAAAAAAAAGGAAAAAGTTTCAAAAATTTTCCCTTAACCTAATATAATTTGGTGATAAGTTTAAAATAGTTTCATAATTTATTAAATATTTTTGGTCTTTATTAAATATTTGTCAAATTTTTATTATTAAATTTAATTAATATTGTGAAAGTAGAAAATATTAAATGGGAACTCATATGGTTTCGTAATTTAGGAGTAATTATCGTTATTTTTTTGCTTTTTCGTTTTTATGTTGCAATATCTAAGACTTTGACGGGGATTTTTGGTATTTATGGTTAATAAAAAAAATCATAATTAAATTTAATAATTAGGTTTTTGGTAAATATTATTTGATGGAGGTTGAAAAATTTACTCATTTTTTGACAAGAGGAAAAGGACAAATATACCCCTGAATTATCGTAAATGGTATGCAGATACCCTCCGTCATACTTTTGAGACATTGGTGCCCCTGCCGTCCAAAAACTAGAGCATATATACCCTTTATACTAACGTACATGCACGTGTCATAATCTTATCCAACGATCCGACATTTATTAAATATCAGATCGACGGATAAGATTGTGTCACATGTCCCTATTTAGTCATTCGTTAGAGTGAAGGGCATATATGCTCTAATTTTTGGACGACAGGAGCACCAATGTCCTAAAAGTATGACAGAGGGTATCTGCATACCATTTACGATAGTTCAGGGATATATTTGTCCTTTCACCCTTTTGACAATTTAAAAGGACTGAAACTGCTCAAGTGATACATATGGGACTATTTTGAACTTAATATTAAAGACAATGGACTATTTTTGTCATTATCTTGAAATAAGACATTTATAATTTTCACCATCCCCTTCATTCTACGATGACCCCTACCGGGGCTTACTTCTTTGAGATGTGCTCACGGCCTAGCTGGCCTGACAATGATAGTAGAAATTTTCTCGTTTTCTAATCAGAAATTTAATTGAATATGAGATTTACTTTATCATGAGCGATATATCTAAACTACTAAAGAAAATGAATATTGAGAACTATTGTACGATTTAAGTTTGTGAGTTTCAGTAGCCCCTCACTTGTCACATACTACAATTAATTAATGATACCTAGTTCATAGTTTTATTATATGTACTTATTTAGGTGAAATTTCCATTCATATATAATTGAGTTATATTGAATTCATACATTGTACGTTTACCTCTACATGTATCAGTCCCAAGTATTATAATAGTATTGGAATAAGTATGAATAGCGTGGATTTATATTATCAACCCCAACTAATTGAAATTTGAAACTTAACTGATATAATCTGACCATAATAGCTCAACATGAACAATTGAGAAGGTCATATAGATGGCCATGTCATCATACTAACATCAATAAAACACTGTCTATGAGATTTTTTTTTTTTTTTGCTCATAGATATGTTACCTTCTTTATAAGAGGGTTTATCTGACATGAATCCTCCTTCCTTCGTTTAGTTGCAACGGCTGCAGACGCAGGAAGCAGTTTCTCTATGGCAAATTGGAAACGTCGAAGTAGGATGTGGCTTATTAATAGGAAGATAAGGCGTTAGCGGACCGACTTGGCATGAATCCTGATAGATTGGACAAATTTTAGCTTCTCAATTAGATGACCTACCCAACATGAATCTTAATTGATTGATTTCAATTAGAGGATCTATCCAACAAGAATCCTTGTTGGTTAGGCAAATATTAGAGGACCTACTCAAATCTGAATCTTTATTGATTGGGTAAGAAACAATAGTTGTTAGATGTTTCACCTTCTATGTTAAAGAATGTAACCACAGTCTGGAGTACAAATATGAAATATAGCATCAAAATGGGAAAAACAGATATCCAACTAAAAGCTTTACCTTCCATAGGGAAAAAGATAAATTAAACAATTCAAACAATACCAAATCCAAAGTTATTTGGATGCTTTAAGATATAAAATGACAAACCAAACAAAATTTGCAAAAGTTGACTCTAGAAGTTTCATTTGAATCAGGAAAGTAACTGGTGCTGTGGCAAACCATGGTACCAGCATTTCCTAATTCCAAGTCTAGTACAAACTGAAACTAAATCTAAGAAAAAATATACCAAAATCGCCTTAAAGGAGATCAGCAACATTGGCTGGGAGCTCCTCAATTACGACGTTGTAAAACTTCTGTATGTCAAAAAGCATCCTTTCGTCATCCTTGGTGACAAAGTTGATAGCAACACCCTTCCTTCCAAATCGTCCACTACGACCAATACGATGCAGGTAGTTTTCTGGTTGAGTTGGCAGGTCGTAGTTAATAACAAGAGAGACTTGTTGGACATCAATACCACGAGCAAGGAGATCGGTTGTGATAAGCACACGAGATGAGCCAGATCGGAACTCCCTCATAATGATATCTCTAGTGTTCTGATCCATGTCTCCGTGAGTTGCAGATACTGTGTGATCACGGCCACGCATTTTATCAGTGAGCCAGTCAACCTTTCGCCTAGTGTTAACAAAGATGACGCTCTGGGTGATGGCCAAGGTCTCGTAAAGATCACAAAGTGTTTCGAGCTTCCACTCTTCCTTATCGACATTGACATAAAACTGCTTAATACCTTCAAGAGTGAGCTCATCACGCTTCACGAGAATTCTCACGGGCTTGTTCATGAACTTTCTAGTAATCTCAAGAGCCTCTGGTGGCATAGTGGCAGAGAAAACACCCACTTGGATTTTTGGTGGCAAAAGCTGGAATATATCATAAATCTGGAAAATAATAATTGTGTCATGGGACAAGCTAAATCATCAAAACAAAGGAGGAAAAGACCACCAAGATGTGGCACCAATTGTTGAAGGAGGTTAGAGCACATCAAAGCTACAATTTGGGGGGAGGGGGGTTCACCAACAAGCTGATCAATAACCGGCATATATTGTCAAGCAAATTGAAAATTATAAAAGAAAGAGAGACCTACACATCTTGAAAGCAATGCACTTGACCATGAGGGTGAATGTTGGGCCTCTTAAGACCAAACATATCCACAAAATTAGTGTCGTGTCTATGCAAAGGATTACGGATGTGCACTCATATGTGATTTGACAATATTCGACATGATCACATTTGACAGAGAATATAAATATTACACATATAAGATAACATCAAAAAAGGGCTTATCTGACTTTCAAATGATCTTGATCTATAAGCACAGGACTATGATGATTGAACAGTAGCAACGAAAAAGGTAAACCTCAAATATCATGGAAGACTAAATATCACAGAAGACTTACGATCTCTAGAAACAAATGCAAACTTCAGTAAGAATAAATAACAACGAAAGCAATTTATCCATATAGCAATGCCAACTAGTTGAGAGTCAACACTTAATTGTTGCCGCCCTTGCATTTGATCTAGTAGTGTTGGAGATCTTGTACTAGTTATAGAGATAAGCTGTGAGACTTGAGGAACTTTGAAGTTTAGAGAACCTCTTAACTTGTTTTAGATTTCAGATTATTTAGCTTAGGCCTGAAAGGGTCGGATTTCAAGCTGGATAAAGATAATCCATAGAGCTGAACTCTAGTTTAGGACTGAGGAATTGTTGATTGATAATTTGAGGGAGAAATATATCACTAACAAATTAGCCCTAGCTTTATTAGTTCACTATCAACTACATACACACATTTAAAATTGAATTCTGCTTCACATAATAAAAAATAGAAAGGGTGAATTCTTTTATTTTGTTGATAAAATGAGATAATAATCTCCACTTCTAGATTGTTAAATGTTAATTAACCTTCGAACACAGAAACATCATTTAGTGACAGAAAATAAAGGCAAATCCTGCTCTGAACTAAGAAATAAACTGCAAAAATTTAAGTAAAAGGGCAACCTGATCCTTGAAACCTCTAGAGAGCATTTCGTCAGCTTCATCCAAAACAAACATCTTGATGTGGTCGGGGCGAAGAGACTGCCTGCGCAACATGTCAAAGACACGGCCTGGAGTACCAACCACAACATGAACACCGCTCTGAAGGATGCGCTGATCCTCACGGACACTGGTACCGCCAACACAAGCATGAACCTTCACACCGAGGTAGTCACCAAGTGCTCTCATAACTTTCTCAATCTGTTGTGCAAGCTCGCGGGTTGGTGCAAGAACCAGAGCCTGACACTCAACTAAACTGTAATCAAGCTGCTGGAGAATTCCAGAGCAGAAAGTTGCCGTCTTTCCAGTACCAGATTGTGCCTGCTGGATAACATCAAGGCCCTTGCAAAAAGGAACAATGCCCCTTTGCTGAATAGCAGATGGCTTCTCAAAACCTTAAAGAAATTCACAACACTGTTCAGTGCCCTGTAAAATTTAGAATGGAGGAAAGGAAACCAGAATTAGGAGGAGATGTCAATTTACCATACGCATAGATGCCCCTCAGCAGATTTTCCTGCAAACCCATGGCATCAAAACTGTCGTGAACCTCATCATATGATGTGAAGAATTCCTGTTGTTCAGTACCAAGCCTGTTTTTGGCATATCAAACAATCACAAAAGTCAATCAAATCAATGGCTAAGGCTAGACGCCAAATATCAGCAGAAAGTGATAAATCAATAAATTGGAAAAAAAGAGGGAGGGGGGGGGGGGGGGGGATGGGGAGACAAGGATGCTTTCCAGCCAGATTAACATGACCTCAATATATGATGGAAAGAGATAACTTACAGCTCTGTCATTTTCGCATCAAATTGACGAGCATCAAACTGAGAACCTTCTGCTGCCATGACTGCAGGAATTTTTAAATAATTAATTAATTAACTGCACCTCAATCTCAAAATAGTTTTGGGATACTGGTATAAGCAAAAATTTAATTTATTCGAAACTAAAATTTTCTATTAACAAATCATAAATCTTATCAGTCATATGGCAATTCATTGAACATTTTGTAGATGATAAAAAGTGAAGGTCAAAGCTTAACTCTGTGAATAGGTAAGTTAGTTAAGACCCAAAACACTTCAACAAAGTCACACATAAAATTTGTTTCATCAAGTATAAATAGCATTATCCATTCTTTCTTCAATTATTATAGATGTCATAAACAAGAATCAAGACGCATCCTCTCTCCCAAAACAACAGTAAGAATGTCAACAGCACAGGGCACATTGAGTAATTATAGTCTCCTCGTCTACCTCCCAACTTATCACCCCCTCCCCCCTATTATCTTTGGAAAGCTAACCCCTTTAGCACACCACTCAGACACACATTACTAGTGGAGCTGAGATAGTGGAAAATATAAATCAAAACAACGGGAAGAATGTCAATACCACGGGGCACATCGAGGAATTATAGTCTCCTTGCCTGCCTCCCAACTTATCACCCCCTCTAATCTTTGCAAAGCTAACTCCTTTAGCACACCACTCGGACACATTATTAATGGAGCTGAGATAGTGGAAAATATATGTCAAAACATCAGGAAGAATGTCAACAACACAGGGAACATCGAGGAATTATAGTCTCCCTGCCTGCATGACTCCCAAGTCACCACCCCCTCTAATCTTTGAAAAGCTAACTCCTTTAGTACCACTCAGACACACATTACTCGTGGAGCTGAGATAGTGGATAATATACATCAAAACAATGGGAAGAATGCCAAATAACACAGGGCACATCGAGGAATTATAGTCTCCTCACCTGCCTACCTCCCAACTCACCACTCCCTCCAATCTTTGCAAAGCTAACTCCTTTAGCACACCACTAAGACACACATCACTCATGGAGCTGAGACAGTGGAAAATAAACATCAAAACAACAAAAAGAATGTCAACAACACAGGCACATCAAGATATTATAGTCTCCTAGCCTGCCTACCTCCCAACTCACCACTCCCTCCAATCTTTGAAAAGCTAACTTCTTTAGCACACCACTAAGACACACACCACTCATGGAGCTGAGAGAGTGGAAAATAAACATCAAAACAACAAAAGAATGTCAACAACACAGGCACATCAAGATATTATAGCCTCCTAGCCTACCTACCTCCCAACTCACCACCCCCTCTAATCTTTGTAAAGCTAACTCCTTAAGCACACCTCTAAGACACACATCACTCATGGGGCTGAGATAGCTCTAAATATACATCAAAACAACGAGAAAAATGTCAACAACACAGCTCCACAGAGCACATCGAGGAATTGCAGTCTCCTCGTCTGCATCCCAACTTACCACCCCCTCTAATCTTTACAAAGCTAACCCCTTTAGCACACCACTCATCTACAACTGCAACAGCTTGGAGGGGGTGCTATATGAATCCTTGAATACACAAAGATAAAACAAGAATCACTAGATCGCTCGTTTTCCAATCATTTAAAACAAAAAACAAAACCAACCCACATTAGAAAACAGCAAAACCATCAACACCCAACTCACCAAAACCACTACTCAACATCAATGAATCATAAAAACACAACCTTTCAATCAACCAAAAATTTACACATAAAAAATCTACAAAATACAAGAAAAATCGAAAAAAAGAGGAAGTTACAAGAATAAGAAGAGTAACCTACTTGATAACGATTTGAAGTTTGTTAAAGAAAGATCTGAAAGATTTGAGAATTAGGGTTTTCAAAGACTGCAGCTTTTTTTTCTTCTTCCAAAAAAACTCCTCGGATCTACGCCGCGGAGTTGAGGAACCACAATATCTGAAGTAGAATGAGTTTTATGAGTGGGTTTTTTTGTTCTTTTTTTAAACTTTTGGGGGGTAAAAGAATATTATAAGAAAAATTTGGGGTGTAAGTGTATTTTAGAAAATTTGGACCGCTTCAATAGGGGAATTGTATTCACTAACGTGGATTCCACAAATTGAAATTGAAAAGAAAAAAAAGGTTTATCATAAAAGATGAGATGACAATGACAATAATAATATATTTAGTGTAATTTTTAAGTAAAATTTTAAAAAAATGATATGTCTACAAATATTATGTCTATATTTAAAGACAAAAAAGTACTTTTTAAAAATAAATTACTCAACTCAAGTTAAATAATTTAAAACAGACTTGAAAAGGAAGATGAGAAGAGGGAGTGGAGAAAAAAAATGGAAAAATAGACAATGAGACTTTAAAAGTACACAAAATGAACAAATTGTCATCTTAAAAAAATTCCATTTAAAAAAACAATCAAAAATTTCAAACTCTATCAAATTTAACTCTGAAGGTCAAATTTTAATTTTTTACGTCTAAAATTTTTAACTCGTATTGAAGTTTGACTCAAGTATCATATAAGAAACTTCTTTTTTTTAAAAAAAATGTATGAAGTTTTAGTTTAAATAGTTCAGATTTTAAACTTCACAAAAATTATTAGTCACCTAACCACAATTAAACTAAGACCCATTGGTATGATGTTTGATTAAATTTTAGAACTTGACTTCCAATTTTGATAGTTCAACCTTTAAGAGCCAAAGATATGAAGGAGGAAGAAGAAAACATGCCTCATGTAATTTTTACTTTTTTTCCCCACACATACGTGGAAGTTCATTATTAGTGTTTTTGCACGGATTGTTCTTATTTTATGGTGATCTTTAATTTTTTATTTTTCTATTCATATAATACAAATTTTGTGGGTCAAAAGATATGTAATTATGACCTAATTTCTCACGGCCAAACTTTTTTTTTTTAGGAGTGTTTGCTTTGGGGTATAAGTTATGTAGTATATGTTTCACATGGCAAAACTTTTAGAGAATTTTTGCTTTTGGAGCGTAACTTTTGCCTTGAACTTAATTTATTTTGCTTTAAGACATAATTTGTATGGTTGCACTTATGCCTTGAAGCATAACTTTATTTTAACTTAGTGCATAATTTATGCCGTTAAATTTATATTCTGAGATATAACTTGTGACACTGCATTTGTGTTTTGGGGACATAAATTGTGCTTTGTACCTAATTTGTTTTACTTTAGGGCATAGCTTATGTCACTGAACTTATGTCCTAACTTGTCATTAAACTTATACAAGGCATAACTTTAACTAAACTTATACGTTGCGAATTTTTTGTCTTGCTTTTTACTATTTGGAGAATTTTTGGCTATTTTTTAAACTAACAGTTCTAAAGGATAATAATTAAAAACTATCAATTTTGAGAGGTAAAGATGAAGATTGGGCCTAATTCTGACTAGTCATCCGTCTAGACAATTTTCTATTTAGACACAAGGATTAGAATAGTAAATACTAATTCATATGGGTGGCTTACAACAAAATAATGCAACCTTTTTATAATTAAATGATTTAATAAAGTAAAAATATATATCATTAAATCATGATTAGATGTATGTGCGTATATTTCAACATATATTATTATTTATTGGTTTGATAAAAACAGTTGATACTGATAAAAAATTATAATCATAAAATTGAAAAGTAGAGTACTCATAGTATGAAAAAAAAAAGTAGACACCATAATTAATTCTCTCTTTAAGGGTTGAGAAGGATCAAAATCTATAGGATGGATAAGAAAGTTGGAAATGGTGAGAACATCAAAATTTAAACGTTATGATCATAACATAACTACATATATGAAAGAGGTCCAATTAAATACCGCTCATTCAAAAAATATATTAGGTAAATAAAATAAAATTTATGCGTAAATTAAAATTATTGTATCTCCTTAACATAAAAGAAGTTTTTAGGTATTTTATTTCTCTTGTTTAATTCCTGGTGAATAGATCATATAAAGATATTATTATCATTGTTCTAAAGCTTCCCTACGAACAAGTATATATATATATACAAATGTAAAAGCTTTGTAATAGCTAATTAGGGAGAAAGAGAACGGAAGGTGACAGATAGAGGGTGAGCACACATAGCTTCAAACATCCATATATACTATAATGTAAGAAAATACCATGTGTGCTCACTCTCTTCTGTCACCTTTCTTAATTAATTACCGCTTTTAACAGTCACTAATACTTACATTAAAATAGACTGACTACAATATTATATATTTTTTGAGATGCACTTCTTCTCCAAATCTCTAAATCGTGCTAATGCAAAATACTTTGTTCATCGAAATCCCTTTCTGTATTTAAGAAAGGAACAAAGATTATGATTTATGATTTGATTTGTGTGAGGAATTAGTGTGTGCTCTTATGGACTTTATATAGAGGATGAAAATAACCAGACAGTTCCATCATGTAAGGAATAAATATGTCTCTCTTTATGTGTATATACTTAATATTTTATGTATAATAATATAGATAGGGATCATTTATATGTGCACACTGAAGTCATGAGAGTCCAATCCAAAACTAATTTATAAATAAAAAAATATTCTTTATTTTTTAATCATTTAGTGTTTGGAATATGCATTGAAGCTCTGATTAAATTTAGATCGTGTATTGCAGGATCAATTTGGGGGTGACACTCCTAATAAGATTCTCTCTATATATATCCGAGACTCAAATCTGAAACCTCTTATTAAGGATGGAGCAGTCTCACCACTTCACCACAACTGATCAGGTTGATAACATATTCAATATTCTATAAACTCAATAGTAGTACTCTATACTCTTTGCAATGAAATTCATTTTTTAGGTGGATTGAACTAGTAAATGGATGAATTATATTATTGATTCATACTGATCATGTTTTATGGACTAATTTTATCATCTAATATAAATGTTGGGTTTAGGTGATCGCTTTGAGTTGCGTCCTCAAGCATTAATCAACCCGCTTAATTGTTATAACTTATAGACGGAATATGTAAAATTAATCTGAAAGACTAGTTTATCAAGTGAGAAAAAGGCACCTTCAACATATAAGCTCAGAAAATAACTACTCTCGAGTCTTGACATGTAACGTTTTTTTCCATTCGACATTTAAATTTGAATTCGGATCGAGAACTATCATTTGATTTTTATATTCTTGAAGCCACGAGAAATATCTTTTATGGTGCAAAAGCAACATAAAGTATATATGCTTTGTATTAATTAGTAATTAAGTACCAATAATGCTGGGAAAAAAAAGAAGGAAAAAGGAACCTTTGACAAAATGTTGAAAATGTGACGTGTCCATTAAATGCGTAGTCTGCTAGAGTTTAACAAATTCCCCTTATTCTTTTTAAATAAAATATAACTTTAATTCCACTTTAAGGGTGCTTAGATTTGATGCTTAATTAGTGTAAACTACTTGCAATAATCAAATAATTACTTTCGAGAAAAATATTAAGTGAGTTTTTCTCATCTGTCCTGGTCGTAGTAGATAGAGTTATCTGATATTTATTGCCAATAAAAAATGACTAGTATCTCGTGAAATTAGTGGAAGAGAAAGTTGACTTAAACACCATGATTAATAAAAAAAAACAAAGAATATTATAATTATCCTTTGTGATGATTGTCACGTCATATCAATATTGAATATTTAATCCAATCATTGAGCTCTTTATTGATTAATCTAATTTGGTTGAATATTGACGAAATCATCCACATTTGGATTGGATTCCACATTACATTAACTAATTTTAAGTTTATGTTTATATGTTTGGATAATATTCACCAAAACTCTCATTCAAGAGGTTTCGAGTTCAAGCCCCGAATATGAAGTCGTCTTTGATTGAAAGTCTTCCTATCAAACGACCCCTTATTGACTTGATGTAAACACTAGGTGCAGTAAGTTTTTACACCCTAGTAAATGTAGGTAGCCTTAAAGCTAAATATTGTACTATTGACTCGGTATCCGGTACTGGCTTTGGGGGCTGACTACTTCGGGTTCATGCTGAAAAGTCTCAGTTTTGGCGTAAAGCACTCCCTACCAAAAATGACTTCATATCTAGGACTCGAACCCGGGACCTCTGGTTACCACTTCATCACAACCTTTTCGTGGTGATGTGTAACATAAGATGATATAACATAACATAAGAATTTAAATTGGAACAGAGGCAGCATTTCAAAAGATTGGAACAACATTTTATATATCAGAAGTTGTCCAAGAACAGGTAAAAATGTCGATATGTTCATCATATCATCACTCACTTAGCTTTTTATCAAAATGTTTCAACAAGGGAATACTCTTAAGTGATCATTTTTTCCTTCAACTTCAGTAAGATTAACTCGTGAAAAGGGAAAATGAACGATACAGCTGATGTTTACTGCACTCGATTAAATGTTGGTAATGGGAAGAAGCCACAGACCTGAGTTGACAGTAGTTTATCCATTGTGTGTGGGAGCAATCTTTGAGTATGCACGGGGGGCAAAGTTTAGCTAACCGATACCTGGCATGCTGCTCATTCCGAATTCACTAAGCCTAGTAAGCTCAGGAACTACTACTGAACCAAGATCAGGTCTGTCTTTCTTCCTCAGCTCAGCACACTTGAGTGACAATTTTGCAAACTTAAGAGCCTCTTCCACTGGCCAATTTGGCACTGTTGGATCTAAAAAATCTGCAAATTTACCTTTCTCGATGGCCCTTTCAACGTGATGAGTTAAACCCATTGGAGGCCTTGCAGTAATAATTTGGAGCAACATAACACCAAGCGAGTATATATCTGATTTAGTCTCTAACCTTCCCGTTTGTTGATATTCAGGATCTATATAACAAAAAGTCCCGGCAGCTGAAGTCATGTGATATTGTGTCACACAATCAGCTACAGATGATGGCACTAACCTTGCCAAACCAACATCACTGATTTTGCAGACATAATTTTTGTCCAACAGAATATTTCCTGGCTTTAGATCCCGGTGAACAAGAGGTTCTGGTTTTGATTGATGAAGGAATAGAAGCCCGGTTGCAATCTCAGCAGCAATTTTGAAGCGAATTTCCCATGGAATTGAAGGGGTATTACCTTTCCGAAAAAGACGATCTTCCAAGCTGCCATTATTCATAAGCTCATAAACTAAGCACCCATACTCAGGACATGCACCTAATAGTAGCACCAGATTTGGATGCCTAATGAGACTGAGGACCTCAACCTGTAAATGAAAAAAACATTTTTCATGTGCATCAGCAGGCGGCTTGTCAAATACTCATACTAACACCAATCAACAATTTAACCAAGAAAGAGGGCTTCTAATAATAGTGTAGCATAGATGAGAGAGTACAAGCTACAACATCTTTTAGACATTCTAGTTATAGCAAGTGAAAATCTGTCCCATTTACATTAGTAAATCATCATTTTCAAACAAAAGTTTCATTGGACATCTCTAAGATGGGCTCATCTACACAAAGCTTATGCGCATAATAGAGAAGCTTTTAGATAAAGCATACATACTTAAAATAAGAAAAAACTACCATGCTATGCATTAGTCAAAAATATTCCTGTTATCCATTAATCAAAAGAAATCATGCGATGCACCAAGCTGCATCAGTATACATGTATTTTCCCACTTTCTACAATTTATCATGATTCCCTCGATTGCATTGCGTGTAATTAACTCCAGAAGTGACTCAATGAATGCATAAGTTCTACGGAAAATGAAGTTGTTCAGCCCAAATAATGCAGAATGTTTCATATCTTAAATACATATTGTAAAAGAGAAGGTATCATTGAATTAGGAGTATAAACGGTTACCTCTTGTTGGAACTGTTTCTTCCCTTGTGCAGCATCAGCACTCAGAACTTTAATTGCAACAGGTGTGTGGTCTAGTTTACCCTTAAAAACAGGTCCATATCCACCTTCTCCAATTTTTTGTGCATTTGAGAATTTTTTGGTGGCTACCTCAATCTCTTCTATTGTATACTTCCTATAACGTATATCATTCTGAGATCGAACATTCATTGCTTGTTTCTTTTTTTCTGTCTCTCGCTTAGCTTTTAACTCCGCATATTTCCTTCTCTGTGCTTCTATTTCAGCCATCTTTTGTGCTTTCTTAGCAGCTTCAATAGCAGCTCTGCATTTAGCCTTTTCAGTCTCAGCAATTGCGAGAGCCGCCTCTTCAGCAAAACGGGCTTGTTCAAACTTGCGAGCTTCTTCACTTTTCCATTTATTAAGCTCATCAGCCTGAAACTTAGTAGAAATATGACACATGAAAAACTTACTCCTGGATAAGAAGAGGGAGAAAGCCAGTCCTTAAGTTTGATACATACATTTGTAACTTGTTTTTCAGAAACGTAAACAACTGATGCGATGCTATTTCTTACTCATCTATAGATAAGAATTGTACTAACTTTTAACAATTATTTCAGACCTTATATATTCCTTGGAGGAATAACTTCCCATAAAAATGCTGCATGCACTCATTTAGTTTTGGGAGTTGGGAGCCGCATGGTAGTAAAATTTGTAGAAACATGAGTTCCCTTATAATATCTTTTAAATCGTTGAACTATTAAACAAGGTTTCTTGAAAATATGATTTGCATAATACAATGCAAGTTCTATGTTTAATGCTTTTTGCAGATACTTAGGCCCATATATTTATCTCTTTCTTGCTATTTTAGATGGTCTTCATCTTTATGGTTCTAGGCAGTTAGAAAATGGGCTATTACCGCTTGGTTGGCCACGACCGCTTCTTTGCAAGCTGCATTGTACATATCCATAGTTTGCCTTAGCTCAAGTCTTAGTCTTTTCATCTCAGCATCCACCTGCATTATCACATATGACGAGATAAAGGTTATTACTAGGCAATTTTGATACTTTTCACATAATGGAAATGCTTATAATGTCTATTAAGCAACAAATTTGTGTTGCAGTGTAGTTCATATGATTGATTATATTGCACTTACTGAATATGAGGAGCTTCCATTCATAGGAGTTTCTCTGATGGCAACTTGTGTGAAGTCAAGATTTTCAGACGTCATATCAACTGATCTAGGGCTAATACGAGCATACCGCATATTACCATCTGGTTGAGAAGCGTGCTTATATGGATTTGTCATCTCGGGAGAATGAAGATTATCTATCGGTACAATAGATGGTCCTTTTTCACCCCTCGTCTTCTCAGATTCTACAATCTTTTGCTCTGACCTCGTGTATGAAAACCTACTTTGTACCATTGATTCATTAAAGTTAGAGATAGTACAGAAAGAATTAACACTTTTGCTTAGAGCATAAGGGTTCTTAATTGTTCATTCATCTATGTCTTAGTTCAACAGTTCAAACTTTTAACTCCAAATACTATGATGAGGTTTGAAATACAAGCAAAACTTCTAATTTTCAGTCTGAATTCAAACACAAGTTTTTCAAATAATATTTACATATGTTGGAACTACCTAAACAGTAATATAAGTCACGATAGTTAATAATTCGAATAGAAAAAAGATGACAGTCAAAGAAAAAAGTGTTCGACTCCCCTAAAAAGTGTAATCAGGAGTAGTACATAAAATGAGGACATAATAATATGTTAGAAATAAACAAAAATATTGTTTGAGTTAACACTAGTATGTCCCATATATTGATTCTTAAAATCTTATTTAACTACTCATCCTTTTACCAATCATCATAGCAAACTGCATTAAAAAATTGCCAACTTACTAAACTAAGTTTTGTTGCTCTGCATTCAAAATGATGTGTGTTGTAAAAGGCATGACAAGTATTCTTTTGATACTTCGGGTTCAATTCATAAATATCAAGTGACATGAGAAAGTTGTAATAAATCCATCAAAGATAAGGACAACAAAATGAAAACAAGATTGACCAATTTTATATCATCACTTGGTATTTTATACCTGGTTGAATCTTCTGATCCAGAGTTACTTGACCTAGGTGCTGACCATGCTGATGAAGATGGTTGTCTTGCTGGTACAGAAGAAGGAAGAGATTTTGCTGCTGGTCGGACAGATTGTTGCTTGCCTTTTGAAACTACGTAGACAGCACAAAACTCTGGTGCAGCCTTATTTACCAATGTTGGCACATCATGAGTCCAATATTTCCTGCAACGGAAGTAATATAAGCCAAGCGCTTTCCTTTGTAATGAAGAATAAGCAACAGATACACTGAGAGATAATAACCTGCCAAGAGCACTCCTAGACGATGCACCAAGAACAATGTTGCTAACACTGTGACTGTTGATGTACTCAAGAAGTCCCTTCGATGCTTCAGTATTCTCAATGACAATCTCTTTCACTACTATCTGCAATAAACTCAACAACCATTTAGAATAAAGTAAGATTTAGTTAAATTTCCATCATGGGAGAAGCCCGGTTTCATCTAATCTTACATGATGCTACTCTAGGTAACTTATAAATTACTTTGAATGTGCAAAACACTCAAGTAGAACAAGAGATTTTAGAAGGAAAAAAGAACATAAAACAGACTTTACGAGACAAAAACACCTATTTCTAGTGATCTTAAAAACCATACAGAGGACAATCTGGTGTTTAAGCTTCTTAACCTGTGTTACTAACGTCAATGTTGCTCGGACTCTTCATAAATGTCATCGGATACTTGTCGGACCCTTCAAAAGTAGTGCATTTTTGAGGATCCGACATGGATGCAGCAACATTTTTGGAGAGTCCGAGCAACTTAGACTAACGCAAAAGACAATAAAGACTTCTTCGATATTGTAAAATGAGAAGGTTAAAGTTAATGAACTTTCAAATATAGGAGTATTGTGTTAAACATAAGGGATTACAAAGGAAAATAAAGGATCAAACCATGCTTGGAGAGAAAAAGAGAGTGCTAACTTATCATGGATTAATTCACGTACCCTTTTGCGTGCAGAATAAACCTTGAAAGGTGTGAAGATATTTTGAGTAGCTTCATCACTTAATCCTCCATTTGAATCTAAAGTAGCTTCATTTCCACCAACCGCAACAAATTAGCATTAGTGTCACAATAAACAACTAAAAGTTCAAATTATTTGAGATATAGAAAGATGGCAATTTGGGAAATCAAAAACACCTTTTTTAAAAAAATTAATCCAATATTCAAAGCCCACTAGCCTGACTAATGTAGTTTTGGGTCCTATAGGGTCCCATAAAAGGGAAACAACTCCCTAACAAGAGTTTCTCCATTCTTACGGCTCAAACCTGATACCTTTGGTTAAGCGTGGAGAGATCCTATCCATTCTACTACACTCCTCGCCGTAAATCAAAAGCACATTTAACTAACATTGGTGCAATAAAAAGCATTTAAGCTCCCCTTAAAAAGACTTATTTTCTAATAGAAAATAGAATTTAAAATTTCTTCCCAAACAAAATTATTGATCCCAATTACATTTATCAAATAAATGACTTTTTTATATAAAAAAAAGAAGAAGTAGTGTTTGAGTCCGTTTGTGCGCACCTCAACTAACTCCACCGTACCTATTAACTCCGGCCAGTACTAGGATCAAGGGAAGGATCCTATCGATTTTACTATTCCTTGGTGATAAACCAAAAGCACATTTAACCAACAATCATAGGTGACTAAAAAGCAATAAGCTCCCCTTACAAAAATTTCTTTTTTAATACAAAATAAAATTCTAAATTTCTTCCCAAACCAAATTATTGATCCCAATTACATTATCAAATGAATAAAAAAAAGGATGCACTAAGCTCTCACTATGCACGGAGTCTGAGAAAAGACCAGACTACAAAGGTCTATAGTAGGGAACCTGCATTTCTACAAGAGGACTCATAACCTCCTACAACAACTTTACCAGTTACGTCAAGGTCTCCTTTCTCATTATCAAATGAATGACCAATTTATAAATCCCAGTTACATTATCCTAAACTAATTTCCGGGATACCTATTATCTTTCACCAACACATGTATCGGATTACTCTGTCCACCATAACGTATTTCAATTCAATTCATTGACATTTGACCATTAGGGCAAACCAAACCTAGAAATGTAAATGAAAGAGAGAGAAGGTACCTACGCTTTGGTGAATTCTTGACCCGAACATGAACCAATACAAGAATTTGATTGTTTCCAAGCAGATTATCAATAGCCCATTTCACCGCAGAGCTGCTACTCTTATCTTTATCAACGGCAACAACAATAGAATCTTCCCCCGGATTTTGGGAATCCATTTTTTGTTCATAAATTTATATATTAAACAGATCGGAAAGAGGCTGCCGCTACTTAGCTCCGCCCCTTTCCGCCACCATAACGGTGGCTGAAAAAAAATTCTTAGCTTTTTTTCACGTTTGACAAAAATGGAAAATTGGTAGAGCTGCATGGAATGGAATGCCATTAGTTTTGCCCAAAAGGATTTGTTGTCTCCCAAAAAAAATGGATCAATTTCTATGGTGATGTTTTAACTCCACCCCCCCCCCCCCCCCCTCCTATTTTTTATTGATATAAAACTCGTAAAATAGTGATAGTTTAAATGGATTTTTGATGTGGGACGGTTTTGCTCGTGATCACTTACACTTTGTTTGGATAGTTGTTACATATTGGTTCATAATGTATTGTATTGTGATATATTGTATCGTAGTGTGTTGTTCTAATGAATATAGTGTTTGGATAGATTGTATTGTGCTATATAACGTTACATATCTTTGGATAGATTGTATTGTTCTTCATCTTTGCTCGTGATCACCTAGAGCCCTTTTGGGGATGTGGGACGTCTTTGCTCGTGATATCACTTACACTTTATTTGGATGGTTGTTATGTATTGTTTCATAATGTATCATATTATTTTGTGTTATATTGTATTGTTCTAATGAATATAATATTTGGATAGATTGTATCGTTCTTCCTCGTTATATAATGTCACATATCATAATTTGAGTAGATTGTGTCGTCCTCCATCTTTGCTCGTGATCACCTAGAGCCCTTTGGGGATGTGGACGTCTTTACTTGTAATCACTTACACTTTGTTTGGATGGTTGTTACATTTTTTTTCATAATGTAACGTATTGTATTATGTTATATTGTATCATATTGTATGTTCTAATGAATATAGTGTTTGGATAAATTGTATTGTTCTCCTATCATTACATGATATCATATATCCATAATTTGAATAAATTGTATCTTTCTCCATCTTTGTTCGTGATCACTTAGAGACCTTTGGATCGCATAACAATGCTTATTGTGTTGGTTTGACATTTCGAGGCAAGATAAAATGTCTATAATAAAGATCCAATTGTGGAGTCCAAAATAAAACATAAAATAATCAAATGCCTCGAATTTCATCTCTATCGAATTTTAATTTCAGAATAGAGATAGTCATAATTCAAAAGACAAAGTCTACTTGCTTTTGTTGATTTCTAACCTTTCAAATGAATTTCGTTAGTATAATAGAAAAATAAAAAATAAATCTCTATTCTTATCGAATAGACGAAATATTCCTACTCAAACAATAAGCATTGTAATTTACAACTCCACCACGTGCACGGGATACTGATACCTATGATCTTATTGACCAATAGATCACACTTTTTGATTGCATGTTAAAATGTAGGGTAACACATAAATATCCTCTCGACCTGTCCCCGAATTATCAACTACACACTTATAAGTCCAACACAAAGTTTAGGTGTGTAGTTGAAAATTCCGGGGAGATATTTATGTATTATCCTTTAAAATATGACACACATAAAGTACAAGACATGATGTCAAACAGTAGATTAAAATACCTACATAGAGCCTTCTAACTATGGAGGCATAATGACCATATTACATTTGATTATAATGTAGTAGTTTTTGCTACTTCAAATAGCAAAATAAAGAAAATTACATACAGAATGGAGCAATGTACTAAAATACAGACAGAAACCTACTCCAATAATAGCCATTATATTTATCCCAAGGTAAAAAAAAAAATGTAACACAGAAATAGATGGTTTACCTTGGCCTCAACGGACAATTATACACTTCAACTTTGAGAATACACATCTAGACACCTCAACTCGTCCCCCACTGTGTCGTTGTGAACAACCGATGTTGATGTGACACATAAATTTTGGAGGTGTCTAGATGATCATTTTGTAAGTTGGACAGGTTAACTGACATGGTTAGACGAGTTGAGGTGCCTAAATGTGCATCCTCAAAGTTGGAGTGTTTAGTTACCAGTTGAGGCCAAGTTAAAGTGTGTCACCTTCAGTCTATACTGCAAATCAATAAATGGAACAGCAGATTATGAGGCCAATTGTGTTGAAGTTTTGGTTTTGAATTTTCTTTGAGCTTTCAAGTCCACCACAATCACTGTTATGTTGTCCTTGCTGCCCTTCTGAAGAGCTCGATTCGACAAGCATTCTGCTGCTGCCTGTGATGCTGGATCAATTCCTTCACCTCTTTCCACGGGGAGCGTTGCACCGTACTTTTTATGCCACATGAGTATACGTTTACGAGCCATATCACAAGCTTCTTCATTTGTCATGACATCCCATAAACCATCACTCGCAAGAATAAGGCATTCGTCATCCTTGGTTCGAGGTATGAACGTTACTTCTGGATCAGGAATTATCCAAGGCTTCAAGTATTTATCTCCTGCAATCAATAACCGGATTAAAAGAAAGAGACAAAAGACCTATTTACTAACAAAAATTATGACCTCTGTCCAACCGATAAATGCCCCAAGAGAACACATACGCAACCCACAGGTTACTTCTCATATCAAACTACAAGTACAAGAATGTGTAGAATGTCTTTATGGAGGATTTGGCGCACTAGGGCCGAAATCACACGGTCCAACAGACTAGTATTGTTATGCCATACCTATGACCAATGCATGAACCTGAGCCGTATAGGACAGATTGTCTACATGGCCCAAAAGCCTTGCAGTGATAGTCCGATCAGGCCTAACAGTGATCATCTAATCCCAAGACCTCTATAAGGATTGTCTTCGTTTGCTCATTTAGTAATTGGGACAACTGCAAATGCATGTATCATTCTACTACGACATGAAAGAGATAGGGATTTATGTTATAAGCTATAGATAACTAAAGTATCTTGCAAATGCCAGAAAATAGGTTAGCTAGGAGAAAACATACCGATAGACCTAGACATTGCAAGAACACCGAAAACACGATGGCCATTCCACTGTATCACCTTCCCTCCAGCTGCTTCAATCCTTTTATATTCATCTTCTCGGTTTGGCTGAAAAAAGAGAACAGAAATGAAAAATGATTATACAGGGATTATTTGCTATGGAAGTAAGTTTAGTTCAAAGTTACGCTTACTTTGTGATCCACTGACAATGCCATGGGTTCCTTCCCACGACACAGAACAGCCCTTGAATCACCACAGTTTGCCACTATAATATGAGATGAACAAACAACGGCAACAACAGCTGTGGAACCTACAGTTTCTGGAGCAACAGGCTCGTGACCAGCTCCCCCTCCAATCTCAGTATCAACTTTAAGAAAACAGTTGGTAAAGGCTCTATTCCAGAGCTCTTGGCAACTTTGTCTAATACTTTCATCACTGTGATTCATCATAAAAGTTTCCAACTCCTCAGCCAATACAGCATGAATCCGGTCTCGGCAGTAATTTGCCACCTGAAAGAGAAAAAAAAATGAATCAATTAATTTTTGTTCATATTTAGGTAACAAGGAGTTGTATGAACCAAAGTCAGAAAGAGAGACAGAGACCTGAGAACCACCATGGCCATCATAAACTCCAAAGAAATGAGTCGTCAAATGACTCAAGCGTCTAGACAGTCCATCAAGCACACGATCACCAATTAACATCTGTAGAGGAATTTTCATGAATCTAGGAACAGTTGCGAATGCGTCTTCCATTTCTGGTCTCCTTCCACAGATAGATGTATATCCCCATAGGGGTATGTAGTCCACTTCAAAAACACTGCGGCTGACTGTTGCACTCAAACCTTTATCAGTGATCTGCTCCTCAAGTCTGACTGGAACTGCCACGGGTCTAGTCAAAGTATCCTCAACATCTGACTCAACCAAAACCCCAGTCTTACCAATAAGTTCGTCATGGCTGATGCTTTTCTGAGAATCCACGAAATCCTGACCTTCTATGTCAGACGCTATCTCAAAGCCTATAAAATCATCAGCGCATAAACTACTACAATCGCTCACCACTGACAGGGAACACGAATTATCGGGAATCTGATCACCCTCCAGTGATAAGGAATCATCATCCTCACTTTCCCTAACAACAGCATCACCACCAATCCAGTTGCTTTCATTTTCAGATATCACATCAAGCGACATAGTCCCTTCACTTCTGCTCTCTTCAGGCACAGATGATGCTGTAATACTAAGGTCGCTCTCCGAATCAACAGAACTACAATCATCATTACCACCAGAAACAGTGTCTGCCAACGTTTTAGTCCCGGAATTAGAATACAGGCTCGTTACATCATCCATCGAATTTTCATCCATCGAATTTATCTTAGTTACATCCATATGGCTTCCTATGCTTGGTTTGTGACAGATCAAACTACCAAATACAAATGGCACTGCAACCATATACATCTCCTCCATCGAAACGACTACACTGAACGCAGTAAAAGCTAACCATCAACCACTCTAAAACTACAGTGCCTTTCATTGTTAAACTAATTCACCACCTCTCTTTAGAATCACTAATAATCTTACCATGAGCTTCAACAGACCATTTTCCATTGCCTAAGAGAATCAACTAGTAAAAGAACATTCTTTTACATTTCGCCACGCCCCATTAATCAAGATACTTAACAGAAATTGCTAATCAGATCTGTTTTAACAAAAAAAACAGAAAGCACCCCTTTATTCCCTTCAAAAATCTTAGCTTTTTCTTCTTTGTCCTCTTCCTTATCTACCCACCACTAACTACAGCTAGAACACAACAATAGCCACAACAGCAAGAACCTTTTTTCTCTTCAAAAATTTCAACTTTTTCTTCTTTCCCTCTTCCTTATCTACCCACCAAGCAACTACAGCCACAAAAGATCCTTACATCCACACAATTACTAAAACCCCAAATAGGTAATGAGTCAAAAATCCAAACATGGCATAAATCTTTAATCCTTAAAACACAAGAAAGATAGGTAACAAGAAAAGGGTCATGTGAATTAACCTGTTAAAAGCAAAGCTAACTTCCAAGAATCGCATGAAATCACTGTAAAGCAAGTACCTTTTTCTCATAAAAACTTCAGTACCCTGGATCTGAGGCAACTCATAACAACCCCTCTTTTAAAACTAGTCTTCTCTTCAAAATTTCAAACAATTGATGACACCAATATGTAAAAAAAACACATAAAAGATAGTATATGAGGTAAAATTGCCACTAACTTATTCTCCTCTTTTCAAGAA